GCACTTTAAAGTGCTGTGAAAGGAACCCTTTTGTAACAGATCCCAGGGCACACAGAGAACAGACAGCCTACTATTAATGTATGCAAGCTTTTGCACTTACTAACTTCAAAGAATCCTTGCTCCTGGAAGAGAGGGGGGATCTGCTTTGGGTCAGAGAGACAACTCTTCACTGACTGCAGAACTTAAAGCTAATGGCATAAAGGTCTGAGCTTGATAAAAACAGTCTGGACTCCTATAGCTGAGGATGTCTTGCTGAAGGTGATTAAGAGATAACTCCTTATGTGTAGCTTAGTATTTCCATTGAAGTTACCAAGACCAAAGCAGAACCCTGTGCTGATGTTGGCATTAAAACTGAAGGCAAAACTGTGCTTTCCAAGAGGAAACAGCTGCAACCTCAAAACACTACTAAGGGAGAACAATGTATTTCTTCTCAGTGGTCCTCTTCAATCCTTATGTATCCCCTTCAGTAAGACAGTCACCCTGCAGGCCCACAGCCATAATTATGACACCTTCCACAGACTTCCATCAGCTTCAGAACCAGGGCTGAGGTGATACTATTTCTCATACCAAGCATGACCATAAGCACAATATTTCCATTTGTACTAACTTCCTCTATTCTCTGCAGTGATATGTTTGGGTCACAGAGCTAACAAAAAGTAGGACGTCTACTTCCCTGTTCTAGAGTATTAGCAACACATGACACTTAAGATCTGTGCCCAAGACCTATGAAGGACACAGGGACAGAAACAGACAGCTGAAGCCTGGTCTGCCCACTCAAAGTGGACCAGAATTAATTTAATCTGGAAAATATCTTCTGCTGAACCCTTCCAGAAGGCATAATTTTGAGTCTGATTCATACATAAACCACATGCTATAAAAGCAGAGCCTTTTAAGAGTCTCTATGGAACAGAAGGATTCTCAAACACTAGTGATCTTTGCAGACACTTCTCTTTGCGTCAATAAAAGTAATCTTTTTCCTCATTACACTATTAGGCCAGTACTGGCTTTCTTTTGACACAGTTATATCGGAATAGAATTACTAATGTAGACAAGGCTCTTCATCTCTCAAGTTAGCAGTTGCCAGAGTGCTTATAAATCTTCACAGTAAAATACACAACTCAAAATTCAGGGAACCACCACAGTTTGCACAATTATCCCTCGATGCAAATAGCACATGGTCGGTTGTAACAGCCTTTCCCTATTGTCTTACAGACTCCCTTTTAACACGGTATACTTTTGATTTCACAGCTCTTTTCTTTGTTATCTCAAATTCCTCCTGCCCCTTCCCCCAAGTTTTCATGTCTATCTGACAGTTGGTGGTTAAAAACAAATCCCAGAACTAATAACAGTGCCTTAGGAGTCCAGGATGATACATAACATCTTTGATACCACATGGAAACATGGGTATCAACATCCTAAGTGGACTTAGATGAGCAATGGACTCTGGCTAAGATTCAAAGGCAGACTTTGAAAGAATGTCTTTACAGGCCTGTGCACCTCGTAGAACAGACACAGAAGACACAAACTTCCATAAAGTAAACATTTTAAAAGTCTGTCAAAAAAAAAGCTCTGTAATGACCAACAACCTGAACTTTGCCTTCCTAATGAGAGAAATCACATTAATTTCAATTAGAGTGCTTGAAAAAAATTAGGAACATTAAGCTCATCAGAATGTACTGCACTCTACAGAGCACAGTCCTGACCCCAGCTGCCTCACTGCCTTTAGAGAACAGTACCTTAGCAGAGCCCCTGCAATGAGTACTGTAGAGGCACTGTGAAGCTTATCATGAACTTCAGGGAATAAAGTTGTTGCAATGCTAGTAAACTCAACATAGATTAGCCACACTGCCATAAGTGCACTCAACACTCATGCACTCCCCACAGTGAAACTGTACCTGGATAACTAGCACAGAGAGTTAAATCCATTCCCAGTAAAAAACAAAAACCCTCCTCCAAAAAAAAAAAAAAAAAAAAAAAAAAAACAAACCACAAAAACAATCAAACAAAAAAACCCCAAAAAACCTCACTCAAATCAAACCAAAAATGCCTCTGCATGTTCTTAGGCTGGGTGTGAGGCTTACACCATTGGCATAACAACATCCTTGTCGTATCTCCTCCTCCCTATGAAGTTCAAAAAGCCTAGGGCAAGCAGGTTCTCACTGATAGCACCCTAATTATCCTTAAAGCATTTCAGACAAGCACAGAAGGGGTTGTGCCTGTGAACTCTCTCTCACAGGTGTTTGACAGTGTGCCAGCTGCCACTTCAAACTGGTACTAGTGCATTCATAAACACCCCAGATAGCAGTTTCTCAGTTATATTCTCTTTTGGATCCCAGACCAGCACATTATCAGCTGCACCTCCCTTTCCCCCACACACTTTTTGTAGGCCTTGTAAAAAGGACCTGTGCTTTAGTTTTCTTACCTTTGTTTCCCAGAATGACTTTCAGTGGCATTTCCAAGTCAGTGTATTCTACTGAGCAGTTAAGGTACAGTGCTAACAGGTACCTCAAAAGCATGAGTGATGCTGCCTTACAGGATTGTCAGTATCAGCACAGAATCACAGAATCATTAGGGTTGGAAAAGATCTCCAAGATTAAGTCCAGCCTCTGACTGAACACCACAATGTCAACTAAACTGTAGCATTAAGTGCCATATCCAGTCTTGAACACTTCCAGGGACAGTGGTTTCACCACCTCCCTGGGCAGCCTGTTCCAAGGCTTGGCAACACTTTCAGTGAATAAATTCTTCCTAATGTCTGTCCTGAACCTCCCCTGGCACAGCTTGAGGCCTTTTCCTCCTGTCTTTATTTCACTTCTGCTAGAATTTAGTGTGTGCTCTGACATTCCCATACATCATGTATTTTATTTTACTTCATCATGCTAACCTAATAGAGTATTTTATTAGCCTCAGGGATCCCAGACATTGCATGAATCTTGTGTGGAGAATTCACTCATTGTTATTGCAAATGGGAACACAGCTGTTTCTGGGGCTGAACAAAACCCATAACAGCAGCAATAGAGCACAGAAGCTGTAAAACATCACTGAAGACTTGATTTCTGACAAACTAGAAAGAAATATAGAGATGGTACTACATAACTGATCATACTGACAGTTTGATAAGCCTATCTTTATGTAACTTGCATCAGAATACTTAAAAAACCAAAAAATCCCTCTACTAACCACACATGCCTTAGGACTTAACACATTATCGTCAAAGCAGAATAGTCAACAGCAGAACTCACTCTGGAAGGTCTCAGCAGGAAGTATTCAAAATCTTAGACTGAAAAAAAATCAACCTGAGGGGATCAAATGATGCCTTGTACATTTCCACTACAACGTGCCATCACACTACAAAGTCATATTTCTACACCCAAAGGGCAACCTATATAAAATGCTATATTTGTCTTTCAGGAATACAGTGGGTTAAGGAAGACTGCTCAAAACCAGTCAGAGGTTACATTTTAATGATCTGCTCTAGCAGAAAGCCCTATTCATGCAAATTCTTAAGTCTCAATCTCCTTTCACAGCAGGCCTTATGCAATTGCAATTGAAGTTTTAAAAACCATCGTTCTCGTTAAAAGCCAGCACGTGCATTAAAGACAGCTAGGTGCTATTGATCAGGGATCAAATGCAGAACTTCTCCTGGAATACAAATCCCAGGAAACAGAACACATGTATGCTATTGCAGCCATTTCCAGTCCTACTTTCAGCTGCCCACAGCCCCAGAACACTGAGGGATGAAGACACTACAACTTGAAGTAGATCAAACACTTCTAATAAAACAAAAGCAGGATCTTGTTTATTTCATGAAGCAGGATCATTACCTGCTAAATGCAAACATAAGCCTTGGGCATTGCATATGCTAGGGGGAAAAAAAAAACAAAGCAAAAAGCAATTTACAGGCTGCAGGTGCCTCCTGATGCCCTTCAAGATGTTTTAAACTGATAAGGTAAGGTGAGCCAAAACATTCGTAACTATCAGAGAGCTTCATAGCCCTCAGGGGAAAAGAGGAGTCTAATAACCTTTCTGCACAAAACTCTGGATGCAGTCTGAAGACCTTCACCTGCAATGAGTCATCACCTTAAGTAGGCAGAAGTGGACTGGTCAAGCTGTAGGGATACAGCATGGGACTGAGCACAACCCTTTTGAAATCAGTAAGGTTACATGAATTGAGAGCAAAGGTCAGTCCTTTTCATAAGAAAAAAAAGAAAAAAAGTCCTTCTTTTCATAAGAATTCAGCGACACGATACAGTCAAGCATTCAGGGAAAGCACAGATCAGAAAGCAGAGAAGCCTTGCTTTCAGAAGATTTGAGCTGCTAGCATTTACCTGCAAGAGGGAAATGAAGGCCTTTGTTAACTTACTCAAGTAACAGGTCTTCAACTTGAATCCATTTGTAAAACAAGCCTAGAAATACTGGTAGCTGATTGACACTTCTGTTGACACAGAAGGGAGGACACAAAGGAAGTTATCAAGGTCTGGACAGGCCACGAAAGCTAATTTTTTCAATAAAAGAATCTCAGTAGAATTAGGAAAGGAGTAATCCCAAGGACGGCAGTTAGTACCTTTTGGAAAATGCCAATTCATTAAAATTGCAAAATTTTGGAGATACACATTTTGAAAAATTAGTTTAGCAGGCTCAGAATGGGAGGAGAGGAAAACAGACAGATGCCACAAAATAGCCCATAAGCACTGGGTCAGCATGTTAACCTGAAACAGTGGAGACCTACATCCAAGTGACTTCCCCACACAGTCATTACTGCCTGTGTCTATAAAGAACATGTTCTACTCTTATATGACAGTTTTAAGATCAAAAGAAGAATCAAATAGGTAAACGATTTGAACTTGAATGTTTTCAAAGACTGTTGATTTTGGCATCTGAGACAGCAGCTGCATATTGTGAATACATGGAGTGTGTTCAATATAGAATATTACGGAATCACAGAATATTCTGAGTTTGAAGGGACCCACAAGGATCATCGAGCCCAGATTTTAAGTGAATGACCCATATGGGCATCAAGCCTACAACCTTGGCATCATTAGCACCACGCTCTAACCAACTGAGCAAATGTGCAGAAATGTATTTAATACTGTATTCTGCCTACAGAGCACAGTATTGGCTTCACAGGCTGGGCAAAGTCGTTGTTAGGGAACTCTGGCTTGCTGATTTGCTTTGAGAAGACATGAATGAACAAAACAGAGCAGCTAGTTTCCTCTGAGAGGATGAACTCACGCTCCAGGGATTCGAGACATGTGCCATCACCGACAGCGGGTCCAAGCAGCAGCTGGAAAGAACCAGCACCATCTAGTGCTCAGCAGAGACGGAGCAAGCAGGGCAGAGAGAGCAACGCACCAGCACTTTCCAGGCACAGAAATTCAGGTTACACAGTCAGGGAAATTCAAACCGCACTTGAGCGTTAAAAGATACCACAGCTGGGAAAAGGCAAGCAGATGTACCTATCATCATCTCAGTGTTAAAACGTGATTACCTTAAAGCTCTCAACTCAAGATAAAAGATAATAATACAAAGCAGTTTCCAGACCATGACTGAAAAGAAGGCATAGAATTTTATCATTCCAAGAACTCCTTTGAAAAGACAATTTAGAAAAGACGTTTATTGTTTCTCACCCCTCAATAAATGGAAAAGTCTATCTCGTGTTCTAAGAGACAGTTATGTTTTTTAGTGACATACAACTGCATGCTCTCAGCTATGCTTCAGACATCTAGAAGTAATAAACACAGATCTGACAGGGCCCTCCACTGGAAAACCAAGATCACCAATCTTCTTTTCCAGGTCAATGCAATGCCATGGACATGGGAACATCCACAGCTCTCTCTTGCTAAGTGTTTCCAGAATGCACTGCTGCAAATACATTTCTACACTTTCTAGTAGGACCCAAAATAACTATTTTTTTGCTGCTGTTCCCCTAGTCAGTATGGTGGATGCCAAAGCACAGAAATCTAAATATACCTCTCAAATATCAACATCATCACATATTCAGATATGCACAGTCAGATTTCAGCTGCAGACTTCAGGAGAAAACTTAATTACCACTGGCAAACTCAGGATCCTGCTGTTAATTAGAATTTCAATTTGCATTGAATAATAGAGAACATGGAATGATTTTCAAAGTATGAATTTCTAATTTCTCCTCCAGGTATTTTAATTACACACTATCTCAACAGGAACTGAGATAAAAAGGCCACAAAAATAGCTTAATTGGTGTTGATCACCTGGGATGCAGAAGCGTACCACAAATCAGATTGCTCTGTGGGCATCATTCCACCTACTGGTACAAGACAAACAAGCTGCCACTCCAACTTCTCTGTCATTTACTGTCAACAGCACAAATGGACCCCTACAGAACAAGCAGACAGCAATTACTGTTCCTGTAAGAATTAGGACTCCTACCTTGTTATTCTGCCTTTCTTGATTTTCCTTCTTGTTATATAGCACAATCAAGGCAGTGAAGTAGCTTCTACATATTCCCTGCACAAAGTTTCTGCACAAGGCATTTTATTTTGCCCTAGCCTAACTTCTGGCATAAAGCAATCACTGCTCCATCTTTGAAGGATTCAGTATTTGAAGCAAGTTGCCTATATTCAATTAAGTCTTTGTAATTAACTCAAAAAGTACATCATAGAGAACTAACTTCTAAAGTTTTGACAATAACCTAAATCAAGTATAGGCAGTGATCCTTGCTCTGGCTAAGTCTGCAAAAAGACCAAGGTAACAATTATGAAGAGGACTGAGCTGCTTCACTAAAGAGATGGCTGGTGCTAACTCACCTGTAGCACAAAAAACAACCTGATGGTGCAGTTTTCACCACCTCAGTTGAATTGACCTAAAGTCCAACTGGTTTGAAAACTTTTTTCAGTCATAAGAGCTGAGATGAAAAATATTATTAAATATATGGAAACAAGATCAACCCCTTCAGCAGCTGTTTCCAATGAAAAAACTCATTACAAAACTGCACTCTTATTCTCACAGTCTCAGATAAGAGCTGTCACTGTTCACCTTGGCAGAAAGCATAGTGGCAAGAAACAGGAGCTAGCTATCATCAGTGATGAGGAGACATCAAGATGTGTACTAGTACCTCCTAACCTCTGACCCTTTTTACCACTCCCCTCCGTGATTCTAAAAACCTTACTGTATCAGGAAATTCTCTGTCTGCAGAAGAACTTGAGCATCTCACCGTGCTGCAAAGACTAGGGAATGAAACTGGGTAGACCACTTGACACAAGACATTAAAACATCAGTTTCCTAAAAGGTGAGACTTCAGGAGCACTTAAGTCATCAACATTCCTTAAGCCAAGCTTAATGCCTGTGGCTTCTCACGAACTGCATTACACCACTCCAAAAGGCACTGTAACCCCAGGTAAACACTAAGTTGTTCTGTTGCTCCTAGCAACAGCAGATGCTGCTTTTGTTGCCAGATTTGGACTCCTCTCCCAAGCAACATAGATCATTTCCATCCATAAATACAAGCTGCTGTGGAATTATTTCCCCAAATGGTGCAACATTTGCACCTGACCTCATACTACCCTCATAACTTTACAAAAACATCCCCCACCACCTGCTAATGTGCACTGCAACTTGCACCCATGGCTTACCCCACCGTTCCACTTTGAACTTCTAGCAATGATGAATGGATTCAAAAGGGTCCGGAAATTTACAGTTTCCCCCAAAAAGGAATATGTAGAATTTATTTCATTAAGTCCTTCACCAGATCTAACACTGGTTTGACTGTAGAACTGTTCTGCAGTCTCTCATGTCCCTAGTTAACCCTTCTCCCAGCTGCCCTATAGAGCTTGGAAATGAACTTGATGAAACATGAATAATACACAATGCCCATCATTAGTTCTTGTTACTCAGCAGAAAATCAATACATGCTCTGTTACAGCACAGGACATGCTGTTACTCTAGTCCCTACACTCTGAGGGAACAGCTCCCCCAGCCAAACTTAACACAGCCTGCAGCAGAGGAAAGGTGGCAAGATCTCAGCAGCAGTTTCACAACAAGGATGCTGAAAGCTTTAGCTATTAATCACAAAATAGGGCTTTGGAGATAAATGGTACCACAGACTGTAACTCTTCAGACATTTCTCAGATCTCAGCCTCTCTGACAGATAAGCTGGTATCAGCTATAGGTACATTTTAGGAATGCTACATTCCATTCTTAATTTTGTTAATTAAAGCTCTGATGCTTACTAGCATAGTAAAACTGCAATCTATATTTACAGCTATTGAATGTACCTGTATTCACAAATCCTCCAACTTAGCTAAGACAACTTTAAAAAAATCTTATCATCCCTATAGAAACTGCACAGTCTTAACTTATAGTGGGATAAATGAAACACAATTAAGTAGAAATGTGATCATGGCCATACATCTAACACAGGGGAAGATGGGAAGTGATGGGAAATAAAGATCTGTGTCCTACAAGATCATTTGTGCTCCCCTTCCTATCTGGCATCTGTTTCAGAGCTGTTCACTATGTGGGTGTTCTGCAGGCTGGCAACCACACAGAACACGGTCATTTCAGAACACATGCAAAAAGAGAAAAGGCATTTATGCCAAAACCAGCACAGAATAAACGTACTGTGAACAAAATGGGGAATTCTTCAGGCCACATTCTCCAGTGACATCTGTGTCAATCACGTTCTGTATTGACTGGCTATTTATAGTGTTTTTCCATACTTCCATGTAGCAACTAAGTTTGCTACAAATGGGATTTAGCTCCATAAGTTAGGGAGAATATCTTCATTTTGCAGACAAGTCAGTGGTACACTAAGACTGAATCATTTTTCCAGGGAACACAGAAAGGTGCTATGTCAAAACCCCAGACTAAACACAAGTTTCCTAGGATCTACAGCCATGCTAAAAAATGTCACTTTTTCCACCTTTCTGAAGAGCCCCTTTCAACTAACCACACGGCCCCACTTTACCAACTCACCTGAAGCAACAGCTACCTGCAGTTTAGGACAATTATTTTGCAGGCTACAGTAACGTAACCTGATAGGTTGGACAAGTAGTACAGAATTGCTATTTTGCCATCTGGAATCAGAAGAAATTCAAGTCTGCAGGAAACCAAATCAAGCCAGTCTGTGGCTCAGTTAATTACTTCAGATCACTGCCAGAACGCATGGGATCATTCACAGTCACAACAACCCAAGTACTTTCACATTGCAGGTCCACAGTCCTTCTGCAGCAGTATGGAGCACAATCTTTGCAAAATGGTGCAGCTATGTCACATTCAGACCAACAATAAATGCCACTTCCTTGGAGATCCTCCATACAGGCTACACTGTGGGCCAATGCCCTGCTGTTTGTGGGGCCCTGCCTATGAGGGCACAGTGCAGCATAAGGGGAAAAAAGGCATTAACAGATAGTGCACAGTGGTAAGTAAGAGGAAAAAAATAAGTCTCTTCTCCCCAAGTAGCTTCCTGCATGTCAAACAGAAATCTGTGACTAAGGTATTGAAAAACACTGCCTGATGGTATAGCTGAAAACCTTACAGCACTGTTCTTGCTCTGCATGACACTGTCTAAAGAGGGGTGTGCAAAAATGGCATTTTAAGCCAGCCTAACAAGGTGGTAAGAAAAAGACCCCAAAGAGTAAAAACACACCTGACTTCACAGCAAATCTGGAATCATCAAATCAAATATAGGGGCAAGTGTCTGTTTTTCAAAAATTCCATTAAAAAACAAGAGGCAGCCTAAAGCAATTACTTTTATCTACCCTAGAGACAGCACCAATGCTGTGGGGAGAGACAGTGCTAAGCAGCATGGACAGATACTCCATGCAGGACAAGCTGGCAGTGAAGGGAAGCATGACTGAGTCACTGCACTCACATCATTTTTAGCACAGTCACATTTGTCTGCCTCTTCATTGCTAGGAACTCTGTCTTAAGGTACTGGGAGATAGATGAACTGGCTCAGTCCTTCCACAGCTCTCATTTCTCTGCTGTGACTCTGTAGCAGTGCAACAGGTTTTTTCCTCTGTAGATCCTGCTACCTGAAACTACCTCCAAAATACTCTGCATTCAAACCCATGCACAGGGATGGTCCTCTCC